AAAAATTAAACCACAGTAGTATCCTGCCTCAATATACATTCCCTTTAGAGCTACAGATTGCCAAATCCCAAGATGGGATTTATTGACACCCCTCAACTAGAAATGAGCAAGGATTCACCCTCAACCATCTACTAAATCATCTAACAATTTTATAAGGAAAATAATCACGGTATACACTAATTATACAAATACCGTTCTCAATTCCATACAACAAAATCAGCTAAAACCGGGGGAAAAAGAATAATAGTATCAGTTGATTTGTGTGAGGGGTGAGCGTGGTATGAGCGACGGTTTCAAGTCTTTGCCATCAAATGACTCGTACGAATGGTTTTCTCGGAATTCCTCAAGAAGAGCCTCCATTGGCATCGCTCGAAGCGACTCAATCGTCCCTTTGCTCGGAATATCCTGCTCACACCTTACAGGTGTATTGCCACTAGGTTCATAATCCTGCACCATTGCAATTAAAACAAGAAAAAAAAAAATGTCAGACCGTGCAAAGATAGTTTGCAATGGAAAAATATCCTGTATCAACGGAACAAGTTATGATTTCTTATACAACAACGCAATACTTGTGCTAATATGCTGAACTAAACGTGCCCTTAATTATGACGACTACAATTATATATGATTGACATGTGCCCTTTCAAATTTCAGCGTAAAAACATCTGTCTACTCCCAACTACGTTCTTTAATTCCATATATATGCAAAAATAATCGGCCAACTATAAGTACTAAACAAGAATACTCTCATCAAGCTTAACTTTGTTTCTAAGTTGTGGAACCAGGTTCTCATACTTATGCATGCGAGCCACACTAACCATATAATTGTCCAGGAAGGTTTCCCGTGCCTTCTCCTCAATGCAAGTAGCATGGCCGGAGTGTTCCTCCCGAACAGTCTCTAGCGTACTCGAATGAGCTCTGACGGTTTCCATGACTTCAGATATCGATCCCCGTTCCTGTTCAGATACTCCTGTAGCAAGTTCCAAACCAAGTATTACATCTTCCCTCAATAATATACTCCGTATCCATGGGCCGTAGGGCAAAATTTATTGTTCGTGAAAGGCATAAAACCTTAATGCTTAAGTTATAGCACTCGAAGACATCATTATATATATTTAGCCGTACATAAATGATTAGCCTCAGGCTATCGTGTATCACTTCATATAGCTATTTCTTCAATCACTTGCAGAAAGTAGCATTATGAAATTCAATGCCTCAGGTCAAGCATAAAATTAGGACAAGTATAGATTTGGCCTATAGATAGACTGATGGAGTATCAACTCTTTCAACAAAATTTAAAATCCTCATTATAAGTTTAAGATGTCGAAAACTGAATAAGCACTTGCAAACTTGATTTTGATTAAACCAAACAGTGGGTAAGCCCTAATGGACATGACCATACTCACTATAAGGATATATAGCAGATCCAAACAGGTAGAAATCATAAAGAGGTTCGAAAGAAACTAAGCAGAAACTAAACCAGGGGCATAATATATCACTTACCATCGACATGCTGAAGCACATCCTCATTGTCCTTTGCGACATCTTGCTCAGCTGCAACTCTTGCAGAATTGATCTCGGCGTCATGTTGCTCATTAGCATCAGAAGCATTACTGCACCAAACAAAGAAATTCAAATGATTAACTATATCAAATTATGACTTGCAAAAAGACTAAAAAGTTAAATTGTAAACAAAACTAGCTACAAG